ACACACACACACACACACACACACACACACACACACACACACACACACACACACACACACACACACACTCACACACACACTTGAATCAGATGTCTGATCTAATCAGCCGTTTAAATATCCTCCTCGGTGAGAATCACAAACATGAAGCAATAACAAACAACTTTTAGATGCTTTTTGTTTCTTTTTACCCTTTAAATTCACCACTCTGACCAAATTATTAGCAAAATATTTCATGAACTTGATGGACGTTAATGAAACACTGTGATACCCAACTCTCTGTCGCCTACATTTGTCAGCATGTTCAAACTGCCGTGAAGAAACAAACCAGATTAGCTTTTTATTCCTTCATTCCTCTTCATCGCCGCTCCACCAGAAAGAAACCAATCTAACCAGGAAGTGCTGCGAAACTAAATATAACGGAATGATTGCTGTGAATGACCCTGAGGGCCGTGTGTGATTGAGCCTGGGAGGTGAGGGAGAGTAACACATCCTGCGTGAAACCAACCCCTCGCCTCGCTCCGTTCTGCTTCCCCAGCTCCTGCTGTCAGAGTGACAGAATCATAAAGCCCAGGATGCAGCGGACACATCCAGATGTTAGACGAGCAGCAGCTCCATGTTTCTGTTTGTTCAGAGAAATAACAGCCGAGGGAAAAATACGGACACAAATGCTGCTTGTCTGACAAAACACAGTGACGGGAAAGACTGTTAAAAAACTGTTTGTCCTGCCGTAGTTTGAAGCTCTTGAACCCGATCTTTGCGCATTAAAATTTAAAGTCTTTAAGGTTAACGGGTTCTTTGATTTCTCTGTGTTTTGAAACTGAAACATGTTTTTAGGAAGAGTCTCTGACAAAGACCTTAATAGATGAATTAATAATCAAAACAACAACAAACTGATAAAAGGTTGGTTTCGACCAGAAGTCAAGAAGAAACTGTTTGAGTCAGTTGGTGTGAGTTTGTACGGAAAATATCGCAAATAAAAATGATCAAAACAAGTCCATTTGAGTAAATAAAACCCTGTATAGTTCTTAGTTATTTTCCTTTTCCAAATAAAAGTAATTTAAAAGGTGCTGTGCATCCACCACCTCCTCTGTCGTCCTGAACACTGGTGTTCCTCAGGGCAGTGTACTCAGTCCCACAGGACTCTCCGTGATGCAGCAGTAAACGTTCTTCAACAGAGCTGTGGGGAATTTTTTCCTCCTCAACATTCGCAGAAACTTGAGATGCTGCAAGGCTTTTTTGATGATGGTGGTGTTCAAGGTCCAGACCAGGTCCACTGAGATACATGAAGACAGAGAAACCTGAAACTCACTCCATCTCCTCACTCTGTAGGTCATTTCCTTCTGAAAGATTTTGCCTCATTGTTGTTGCTAACAAATCCCAAAACAATATCGTCAGATTAGATTAGTGTGTTCGAGCTGTGGGTGGCGACAGAATGGTGGGTGTACAACGTAAACAGAAAGGGACTGAAAACACAGCCCTGAGGAACACCAGTGTTGAGGACGACAGATGAGGTGGATGTACAGCACCTTTTATAGGTTTAATTTATGAAGTACCTTAACTTAAAAAAAAATATATATATATATATATATATATAT